GGGAGATTCTCACAGAGTGAAAGGAGATTGTTCATGAAGTTGTCAAAAGGTGGAGGAAAGACCCGGGAAAGTTGTACTCTATCTTTCCTGCTGATATTCACAAGTGGGCTGTACAAGCCACTGGAATCTAATTCTAAAAGTAGCTCTGAAGTCACTTTCAACCTAATTTATTCTACAATTCTTAAAGACGACTCCAGGTGACAGAGCAGTAATGCTGCCCTAGGTCAGGATGACTTCTCTCCTGTCTGATGGTGACACTGCTTCCGATTAAGTCCAGCTGCTCCTCTTTCCAGTCTGTACTTTCCTGGGTTCTTGCCTTGCTGACAGCAGGACTCCTGTACCCCGAGGTCTCTTCCCTTCAATTCACCTTTCCACCCTAATTCTGCCAAACTGGGTCCTGCAGCTGGGGCAAGCTACAGGAAAGGCTCGGGAGCTTTTTGTGGCTGGCTTGAATTGCCATTGTCTTTGGAGGCTGTGGGACTTGCAGAGAGTTTACTGCAGGTGCTGAGTGCTGAGACCTGCAGTTCAGAAAGGTGTGCTGGAGGAATGGCTCCTGAAACACCCCTGCATTCCCCTGGGGGTGAGGAGGGGCTGGGAGGGCTCCTCAGAGATTGCTGAAATTTGCCAGGTTGACGGGGAAACACACAGGAACAGTTTTAAAGCTCTGTAAATGGTAAGTGAGGTTCTGTTGCTCTCCTTTGAAGGACTCCTGTGCCTGTGGCTGGCTCCCCCTCACTGCTGGGGGTCACCTCTGTCACACAACCCCGGACACTTGGGACACCAAGGGACAAACATCCCTGCTTTGTGCTCCTGCCAGACTGAACGGGGCTTTGAAGAGAAGGTGACAGATTTCTTGATCCCCTCTTGCCTCGAGACTGTGATGAAAAGAGCAATATTGAGAGAGAGCAACCTGGCAAAACGTTGCCTTTAGTTCTTGGGGAAAAAGCTTGTTTCTGCTTTGAGTTTTCCAGCAGCAGATGTAACCTTGTATGGCTTTTATTCACGCCTTTCTCTCTTCTCATGGGTTTAGTTCTTCAGCTACTGATTTCTAGATGTTCAACTGTCTACGTGAGAGAGCAGGAATAAAAGATGAAAAGGGGAAAAAATAATTAAAAAAAAAAAAAAACTATGAAAGAGAATAATAGCATTGGGAGTCTGGGAATCCCCATTGGGGGTTTACTGAGAAGGTTAAAACACAGTACAAACAAGAAATAAGTGGTGTGAGAGAAGCAGACGCTGAGGAGGTACTTTGTTAACAGCTGAGTTTAAGCTGTAATGAGAAAAAATGACAGAAACAGGGAGAAGAAATACAAGAAAAAAAAAATTGGTTTGTGTATTAAAGTAATTAATTAAGGTAGTAAACGGAGTCTTTAAAATGGAGTTTTTCCTTGCTGTTTCTGGGATGGCTTGTGTGTTTTGTTCAGTTTTTGGAATGGATTTAATGCTTTTTACTGTCAGCTTTCACCTAGATCTTTGAAAATAAATTATCACATTAACATTTGGTTTTAGTACATTGCATTACTTTGATTTGTGCCAGAGCCCTTTCCAAGGGGCTGCCAGCTGTCTGTAGTGCTGATTTTTTTGTGACTAGTGCAACTTGTTTTTCCTATTCCTGGGTTTGTGACAGGAGCTGGGTTTATGGGACTTCCAGAGCTCACACAGTAGCCACCCTGTGTGTGTTGGGAATATTGTACTGCTCCTGTTGTCCTGGTGTGAGGTTTATTCTTGTGAATGTGATCTATTCTTCATGGATCTGATAAAGCCTGCCTGGTCTGTGTGGCTGGGAATGAAGTGTGTGTTGAGCTCAGCTGGGATGGGTGACCTCTGTGAGAAGGTGCTTACAGTCCTTGTATCCCTGTTTTGTGATGCTTCATATGTAGGTAAGAACTTTACTGTTGCTTTCAGAATTTTAGAAGCATTGTTGCCAAAATTGTCAAAAAATAGGCCCTGTGTTTTGACAATAAAAGCCATCAATAAAATATTCATCCAAGTCAACAAACTTAAGAAAGCTTTTCTAAAGCTTCTGTGTTTTGGAAAGTAGGCTGGTGTAATAAATAACTGCAAAATAATGATTTGCTAAAGAGACTAATGAGCTCAGTTTTCCGAGCAGCATTAATCCCGTGTTTAGCTCGGGATTTCCTGCCCGTGGAGCCCTGCAGTCGCAGGGGCTGTCCCAGCAGGGTGAAAAACGAGCTCTGGAGGGCTGGGATGGAGCTCTGGGGCCCGTGGCAGTGAATACTTGCAGAATAGAAGCTCATTGACTAAAGCCTGGTTTACGCGGGGCTGAAGCTGTAGTAAACAGTTTGGATTACTGGGAAGTGACGGATGCTCTCGATTCATATAATTCTTTGGCTAAATCTTGTTAAAAGGAGCTGCATTCTAGAGAAAAGAGAAGTGGTTTTGGAGGCGCTGTGGAGAGGAACTTGGTGCATTTTTTGGGTTTTGGTGTGCTGAGGCTATTTTAGTACTTATGTGACTAAGTGGATATTTATTTTGCCATAATGTGTGTTTGATTAGATTACATCAGCTATAAATACTGGAAGCTCTGAAGCATCTATTTCACTGTCTGTCTCTAATCTTGGCTTTTGAGGAACATTTAATGTCTTGTTGTGGTTACAATTAATCTGCATGTGTTTTAGCAATTAGTGTTTATGTGCAGCGGGCAGCAGCCAATTCTGGCAACTGTCAATCAGCAGCTGTAACAGGCTCTGAGAAAGGAGTGCAGAAAACACAAGGTGATTCCCTGCCTGCCTGGTTATTTAGGAATGCACTTTTGTGGGCACACACACTCTCTGGCCCAAGTTATGTGCTGTGATTTCCCATGTAGGCAGTGGGACAGTGGTATTATCGTGGCTTTGATGTGATGAAGCTCTCTGTTACCTTACCAGTTTAATGGGCCAAAGTTTAATTTGTTTCTTTCACCACCTTTAGTAACAGCTGCTGGTTTTTACTGTCTTGTAATTTTCCTTTATGTAGGCATGCTGGCTTGTTTTTAAAAAAACCTTCATTATCATCTAGAAAAGTGGATATCCTGTGAGCCACTAACAGAGGGATGACAAAATACGTAACAATTCAAAGCATTTGAATTCTTCTGCTTGGCTAAGATTTAATAAAACTGATAATACGAAATTATACAAGCAAAACACAGATGAAGGAGGGAAAATGGTTGGTTTTAAACAGAGAGCATCTCTGGTAGTTCACATTTATGAGCTTCCTACTGTGTTTGTAGCCCCCAGCCTTGGGCTTTCCCTACATCTCCAGGGTGTGGGAGCACTCTGCCTATGATTGCTTTTTCCTTATTGTTTGCTTTGAGGCTGTTTGTTTTTTAAAGGAACAACTTAGCAGTAGGATGTACTGGCAGAACAGTGCAGCTTAGTAAAACTAATCTGAACATGTTTTGGAATCTGATATGCCCTGAGCTGGGACTGGGAAATTCTCTGGCTGCTCCTGGCTCCGCAGGCTGGACACCTTGAGCGAGTCCCCACGTCTTTCTCTGGCAGCCACCACCTGTAAAATGGAGATAAAAATAATGATCTTCCTTCAGCTGTTTTCCAGGTTACAGGAGGTGGGCACGGTACCAGTGTCCTCATTAGCATTTTTTAATAAGGCTCTGCAGATTAATGCCTTGCCCTGGTTTGAAGCTGCAGAAACCAAGTGCTGGGTTCTCCTGCTCTGCCTCCTCCCTTCTTCTGTACAGGAGTGAGTTTATTGTAGTGCTGTGTGTGGACAACACCTGAATTCCTTGTCCTGAAGAGCACAAAGTGAATTTGTGAAAGCAGCAGGTATTAATTTTGTAAGTGTCCTACCACTGGTTTGAGCCCTAATAGTTCCCTCTTGCATTAAGTAGATTTAAATCTCTTTTAAACTCGGAGGCAATAAAATATTCAGGATCTGCAAAACAGCTTCTTTCTCCATCTCATAGCTCATTATCTGTGCCTTCTCTTTGGATATGGATTTTTTCCCCTCTACATTGATAGGAGAAATGCCACAAAGGCATAAGTTTGTTGGGAAGCTTCAGCTCCGTTTGCCAGGTGCTCAGCTGGGCTTTGAGTGTGTCAGCTGTGTTTGCTGCTGCAGATTGTGGAGTAGGTAATTGCAATTTGTTTTAGGCACTTTTAAAATGGGCTAACAGCCCTTTTTTGTGTAATTTTTGTTGTTTCATGTGAAGAATAGAGAGGAGTCTGAGAGCCATTTTCCTTTACATAAAAATACATAAATTATTTAATCTGATAAGAGGAGTCAAAGTTCAAACAAAGGAGGCTCTTCAATTAGACTTCCCCAAAAATACAAAAATAAACTGTGTTTTTGCAGGAAGGAGTTAAACTTATCAAGCATTTTCAATTTTGTTTGGGTTCAGTAATTGATATATTTGTTACTAATATGTTATGTTTTTATACAGTTTCTTTGTAGTTACTTGTTGTAAAATGGCTAATCCATATTTTTTTTTTTAAACTGTAACACTTCTGTATAAAAACCCACTCTTGATATATGCTGAGAACCACTGGTTACTGTATATTTTTTAGAGAAGTGACCCCAAGGGATTTATATTCAGCACCCCACTTTTAGAGGGCGTTTATTACTGGGCTTTAAAACCTTCAACACAGTGAAGAAACAAGAGTGGCAATTTGGGCTACTGCAGTGAAAAATTAGGGACAAAACAGAACTTCAACATTTGAATGTAATTTTCAGTACTAGCAAACTATCCTGAAATCTTAGTTTAAGAGAAATAAATAGTCTTATCCAGGTTGTGGGTAAAATACACATCCCCTCCCTCTGCCCTGCCTTCATAGCGAGCGGTGCTGAGCTGAAGCCCGGCTGGTGGGGCAGGAGGGAACGGGCTGGAAAAACAGAGCCAGGAAAAGGGGGCTGAGAGCAGCGCTCCCTCATGAAAAGCAAAGGCAGACCAAGTGCTGCTGCATCGCTGGTTGTGTTTCCAGATCCCCAGCGAGGCAGGTCCTGGTGGTTCCCCCATGTCTCTGACAGCATCCTCCCTTCCGCAGGCGCTGATGCGGCCGGGCCGGAGCCCAGCAGCTCGGACAGCAGCAGAGTGGAGCGACCGGACCCCTACGGCACCGTGGAGGAATCGCTGCTGGCAGGGGAGTCCAGCTACATCCACCAGCCCCTGACTCCGGACAAGGAGGACGCGCTCCAGGCCGCCACCGTGGCCAACCTTCGAGCGGCTCTGATGAGCAAGAACAGCTTGCTGTCGCTGAAAGCCGACATGCTGGGCGAGGACAGCTCGCTGCTCTTCGAGTACCTCCCCAAAGGCACGCACTCGCTCTCCCGTAAGTTGGCCTTCTTCTACTTTTCTACTTCTTTTTTTTTGTTGTTTGTTTTTTTTTTAGTGATACTTGAGGGGAAATCTTTAGTGAGAAGAAAATACAGGTCACCGCCTGGTTTGTTGCTGTTGGTGTGTTTATATCCAGGTTTAAGTCCTGCTTAATCCCACTTTCCATAAAATTTGGAAACTTTTGTCTGGTATTGATCCAACTTTAATGTTAACTGCTGAAGTCATAGAAGAAAATATTCAGCCCGTAGCGCTTGCCCTCAAATTTCTGTTTTGCTCATATGTACAATGGTACTTAAAAACAAAATACAAAGTGTTTGAGTCATTATGGGAAAGGTTTTGAATACAAACTTGATTGATGTTGAACAGTTTGAATGTTGCTCCTGTGTCTGTGGAAAAAATCGGGGTATTGTAGATTGCATGATCTTTACTTCTTGCAGTTTAATTTTAGACCTGTAAGCGGTGAGCAGCTATTGATTTTGTTATGCTTGCACCTGGAAATGAATGTTTTTCTACTGGTGATCTATTGGAGATAGCTGATGCGAGCCATTAGGTGTGGACAGCTGATTTTTTATCATATTTTTGTGTTTTCTTCATTGCAACCTGATTCTCTAGTGCATAAAGAAAGAAATTATTAATGTTGTATTTAAGTAATACTCTGAGAAGATACATCATTTGTGAAATAGAATAGAGCAAGCAACAGTTTCCTGAGTACTACATGTTAATTTCCAGAAGAAAAAGTTTATCTATGCTGAGGAAAGTGACCAAGTAAATAGAATGAAAAGTTCACTTAGTTATATCTATTGTTCTATTTTCTTTTCATTTCCTCAGTGGGAAAAGATAAATAACTTTAATGGTCATAGAATTAGAGAATGAATCACAGAATCCCAGAATGCTTTGGGTTGGAAGGGACTTGGAAGATGATCTTTTTCCAACCCCTTGCCTTGGGCAGGGACACTTTCCACTCCACCAGGGTGCTCCAAGCCCCATCCTAGTGGCCAACTGGTCCCTAGAGTTGTGTGACAAAGGGAAATAATTGCACAATGAAGTATCAGACTTAGTGTCTCTTTTCACTTCTCATGTCTGAATAATAGGATTGTTTTTTCAAAAAATACAAAAACCTTGAAGTTTCTGTACCTTATTCTGTAGCTTAAATATTTGTGGGAAATGGCTGGTGCAGTGTTCTGGTTTATTTTGCAGTAACTCACTTCTGGAGGAATCTCCAGTTCAATCAGATTTAGATGGTTCAGATCGGGCTCCAGGGTTGAAAATCCCTCAGCTGCAGTGGAACAGCACAGATGTGGCTCAGTGCAGTGGCAGGGTTTGGGTGCAGAGTGCCCTGAGCTGGCACAGGGATGGGTGGGAGCCTGGATCCGATGCGTGACCGCGGGTGATGGATGCACCACGGGCTCGGATCTGTGGCTCCTGACAGGTGAAATCAGCAATTTCATCTTCTGTCTTGATAAATTGGAATAATGACGGGGCTGCCCTCTGCCCATCATCCTTCTCCTTGCTGAAGGATTTTAGGTTTTACTTAAAAACTGAAGCACCACTTGACATAAAGATAAATGTGTACGAAGCAGTCATAAATCCAGGTTAAAAATTAGAGATTGCCCAACCACCTAAGAAGCAGCGTCTGAGGATGGGCATGGTGCAGGCAGGAGACCAGCTGGGTTTAAAATAAATCTTGATACATTTAGAAAAGGGAGTAGTTCATAGTTTACTGAGGGCTGCCATGGCCCAGGAGGTCCTGTCCAGCATGTATTTCAGGTAATTTTCCAATCTTCTCACTATTACTTGGATTTCATTCATTCAGCTGAGCTTCAATTCTCTCTTCTTTATGGAAGCAAAGTGAAATGCCCAAAAGGAAGATTTCCTGCTTGGTCTGGAGCTCTCACAGCACTCAGGGATGTGGCTGTGGCCTGGTAAGAGGGTTTTTATAGAAGCCAGGAGTTAAGAGACATATTTTTCTTTCATCTTATTCAGATTCACAGGTATCAATTTATTTTAATCACTTGAAAAAGATCTTGTGATATACGATTCCCTTTTAAGTGGTCATTACTGAATACAACAGGACGTCAAGTTTGATGAGAATTTTCAGTGTATAAAATGACAGTGAAGCAAGTGGTAGGAAGATTGTGGAGATGTAAAAGCACAGGCTAGGTTGGTGCTGGCTTTGTAGGTGTTTTTGACATTTTTTCTTCAAAAACAATTTGAGGATGTTGAGTCATTTTAAGTCCTGGGTTATATTAAAAAAAATAAAAAGGAGCAGGGAGTAGGTAGGAGCACAGTGAAAAAGATTGAATTTAACAAGACAACCAAACCCAGCGGTTTTCATCTGTCTTGATTTGAAAAGAAATGCACTAATTTCAGGGATTATAACTGATCAGTCTCTCTTGACTTCAAAGAAGTGAAGTGTTTTTTAATCTTGGCTGCTATCACTGGATTGTCTCCTCTTACAAAGCACTGCAGTACATAACTGCCTCAAGGAGCAGTATTCAGGTTTTGTTGTGGGTTTTTTTTTATGGAGAAAGAAAGACTTAATTAAGGTGGACAGATGCAAAGAGGGTGTTAAACATGTTTAAAATTTGGATGAGCCATTTCTAAAGGGGATATTACTCTCCAGATTGCTGCACACATTAAAAGTTTTCACTTGCTCTTCCACACAATTCTTCCTGCTTTAGAAGTTAGAGGATATCCCAAGGTTTTCATTTTACCCCGTGTTCTTTTTAACTAATTCATTATATGATCATATGAGGTATGAACTTGACATTCTGCTGGTGGAAAATGAAGCCCAGAATGTGTGTGTGGTGGGGGTGTTGTATCACTATGGTGAATTTCTGAAGTTAACCAGTTGAAACTCGTTTAAAATCAGAAGGGAAAACTTAAGTATCTTGCCATTTGGGCAGCACAGTTGCCAGATAACCTGCAGCTGAAGGGCTCTGAGAGTTTGATGTTCATGATGTGTGATCAAGATTGACATTGTTCATATGCTTTTCAGAAACCTGGAACATGCAGGATTTGCAGAAAAAAAAAAAGTGTGAATTACTCATGGTTACACCAAGGCTGCCAGGGAACTGTTGGTTACTGAACCTGCCTGAGGTGTTGCTGGGGGTGCCTTTCAGATAAGACATCACAAGAGTTTTCCTGGTCTTGCCATGTTTTCCTGGTTTGTCTCTAAAAACAGGTGGTTGTTGTGTGATTTCCACTCCAGCAGAGCTGCTCTGCAGAGCTCTTTGGTTTAATAATGTGTCTTATTTCATTTATGAGTCTGAACTTTGGTAGCATTGTTCCGCACGGTTACGTCACACGGCCAGAAGTCTCAAAGGCTTCAGTCGAATGTTTTGAGATGGTTTTGCCAAGTATAATCAAAAGAACAAGAATTTTAATACTCATCACAAAATGAGGTGGTTAGTTTACATCCTTGTTTTCTGATTAAAAGAAAAAAAAGAGAACTTTCAGATTGTGGAGGGGGGATGACTCCCTTGAAGGGCAGCTTCCACATTTCAGAATAGCACATTTGAAGGCTTTTTTATATGTCTAAGTTTGGCTTTTCCTGTTTACCCTGTTGCATCTGAAACTGTTTATAGAAGCAATTCCTATGAAGCTTCCAGTCCAAGTGATTACATGGTACACAGAGCCCTTTTCTTTTGGGCAAACCAGCTAATAGGTTATTTTTAGTTAGTGGTTCATTGGAGCCAATAATTTATCCTTGCACTGGATGTTAAGAAATGCATTTTACACAGTGGCCAACTTTCCCAGGAAGAAGTTAAAGGTATTCAGTTTGGTGTGGAATTTTCATACATGGTAAAAGAAGATTTAGGGGAAATGGATGCAATTTTAAATGAGGTATAATAACTTTGCCTTTCTCTTTTCCACAATAGTTTACTGTCCAGCTGTCACAAGAACTCTGTATTCACACAAATATTGCTAAGCCCCTGCTTCATTTTCTGTGTGCAGAGCTGACTGAAGGAAAGTGGTTCTGATCCCTGATTTAGAAGTTAAAATACTTTTGGTTAAAATTCATTTTAGTACAAGTTGAGGAGAGAAAAAGGTTTCTCACGGTACAATTCAGAATGGACATAAATCTGTGTTCTTGTGTACAAAGTGTGGGTCATTGATGTGGGTTTCTCTCTTCTTGTGTTACTTGCAGTTGTTGAAACCAAATAAATATTGATTATTGTTTGAAAACTCATCTTTGTTGTGTTGTACATCTTTGTGTGTTTGTACACCTTGGGCGATAGTTTATTGCTTCTCTGTGCTTTATTTCATTGCTTGTTTGTTAGCATTAATTTTTGTTTTAAGAAGTGCAGAGGTTTTTTGGAACCTGTGAAACTCTGGGAAGGTGCTAATAAAGAGTTCATCAAGCCAGGCCCCACTGGTTTATCTTTACTTTACTAAAATACTATTAGTTCAAAGAAGTGTAACCCAGAGATATCTTTGGGGCAGTTTGAATCAGCTTGGGGTGTTCAGGGGTGGAAAAAAAGGAACACGTCTAGGCAGGAATTCTGCTATGGACCTGTAGAGCTGGATTCCTGGTAACAGTTTCTAGCAGGAAATACTGATAAATTCTTCTTTTCTCCTGAATTTTTCCTATCTTGAATTTCTGGCATTTTGTTGTCCTACTTTAAAATGACAACAGCAACAGATGAGCAGCACCTGAAGGAAACTTTGGAGCATTGTTATCCCAACCGAATAGCATTAACTAAGTTGGGAAAGATATCGATCTGCCATCAAAGTGGAGAAGAGTAAATCAAACATCCAGCTTGTGGCACAAGAGCAGAATTTCTTTTGATAGCTAATAAAAAAAAGTAAGGTTTGGGATTGTTCATATTTTGAGACCTTGGTGTGTTTTCACTTGAGTGCTTTGTTGTCACCCAGATCACAGCGCTTTGTATTCGGACACAGTGTAAACTGTGACTTGTTATTTGTAGCTGCATTAAAGAGTGATTTTTTTTTTTGTATCCCTGAAGGTTTCCAGACTCTTTTTTGCTGGAAATGAGAAAGCCTTTAGGGCATAGCGTGCTTTAAATATGAATTTGTTTATTTTATGCCATATTTGCTGCTGGGTTTACCTCCTTGCGTTTCAAAAAGAACAACCTGCTCAGCATGTCATTCCAATATTCAGTCAAGGCATCTGCTAAAGTTTGTATAATAATTTATAATGTACAGTGATATTGATGACAGAGTGTTTATGTGTATTTAGCTTTGTCATTGATCCTCAGGACAGTTTCTGGAATATTGTTTTCCATTTGGCTGTTGTTACAGTGTAGGCGAGGGCTGGACACAGCATGTTTTCCTTTTGAATTATGGGAGATTTTTAGACTGTAATGACTGTCAGGTGTAATTGAACAGTTTTGTACAAATATTTAAACCTCCATCCTTGCTAAATATAGAGTGACAGGAATCCTTTTTTCCATCTTTTGTAAAGCACTTTGAGATCAAGTACTGACAGTCCGATATTAAATAAACCACCACGGACAGATCTTAGGATCTGAACCTGTGACATAAACTATCAAGAAAGTTAGTGCAATGAAGTTTGCATGTACATTCCTTAAAGGTGGAAGTGTATGTGTTCAAAATGATGCTTCTCCAAGAAAAATATGGATATTTGTGCTGCACCGTGCTTCTTTCTCCCAACGGACTCTGTAGTGACCGAGCCCTGCGATGTCCCTCCAGTACACACAGACATTTGGGTGGGGAGGCTGGTTTTAAAAAAAAAACAAAAACAACCCATCAACCAGAAAGACCAAAAGCCTGGCATCCCTGTCCTGCTGCATTCCCTCCCACTGACAGAAGATGAGCTGCGAGTGCTGGGGCTGCCTTTGCGAGGCCGTTTTTAAAGCCACCAGCTGGTGCTGGTTCACGTGGGTGAGATTCGTTTCCTGTGTTCCCCAGGGCCTGGCACCAACTCGAATCGTTCAAGGGGTGAAAGTGATGGCAAAGTGGAAGCACCATCTCCCCTGCTGCCCTCAGCACACCTTGCCACTCAGAGCCCCCCCAGGATCTGCTCTTCTGGTGAAATGTCACCAGAAACTGGGATAAAAGGAGAGGTGCCTTCCTCAACCCAGGTAAGATTGGGGGGGAAGGGGAAATACAAAGAATTTGAATTGCATAGGTGTCTGTTTGATCAAATCCTCCCCAGTTAGGAGTATTTTGAAAGATCTAATACCTTATACTTTAATCTGTGTGCTTTTTTAAAAAAAATACAGGTTATTTTAAAACTAGAAGTCTGTTGAGGGTCAGGACTAGTGCTGTCCCAATTTTAGTCTTTCTGCCTTACCTCAACAGAACTTCTGTTCAAAAACCTCTGGGTTTTTTTAAATATAAATGTCCCTTTTACTGTAAATCCCTTAATTTGCACAACATTGCACACTAGCATGTAATAATGGCATGAGACCTCACCTACCCATTGCTCACTTCTGCTGTTGGGCATTTGGGTTTCTTTTAACTGTCTAAATTCAGACAGAAATGGGCTGGCTCTTTCTATTACAGAAGTCAGAAGTTTGACCTAAAACCCATAGCTTTCTGCAGCATTTCCTATTCTTAATATTTTTGAGTGATACTCTATTAAACAAATGGGTGGAAAACACAGGTTTTGCTTTGCAGTCCCCATAGAGCAAAGTGAGCTGGTCTGCACAGACCTGCCGAGGCTGCAGCACGCCTCTGCCTCACACAGGGCTGCCATCTGCCACACGCTGGCATATCGCAAAGGATTTATAAAAAAAAAAGATAAAATCAGCTTTTATTTAGAATTTGGATCAGCAGTGCCAGAGGGCATTGCTGAAAGGGAGCTGTGCAGAATGTGTTTGTGTTCTACAGGCTATTCTGTGTGGAAAGGAAAAGTACCTGAGGAAGGCTAAGGGAGAATTTTCCAGTTCTGTTGTATCAACTGAAAATATTCTGTCCAGCATTTCCCACTGGGCTGAGTGGGAGCTCCGGGTGCTTAGTGAGACTGGGAACTGAGTAGTTATCCAGGACTTAAACAGGGATGTTGATTACTGTCTTCAAAACACCAAATGATAAGGTGCTTTGAAGCAAGATAAAGGTGCAGTTCACTGCTCTGGCAGTGACAGCTTTGTGAAGACACTTTGAGTTGGCAGGTCAAACGGCTGAGCCTCCCTTAGAGCAGGGATGAGGGCAGTGACAGCGATGGGAGGCAGTGCTCTGCCTGCAGGACAGGCTCTTGGAAATGCCTGCCTTAACTTCCCTGTGCTTTTCCCTTTGCAGGCCACCTACGATGGATTTCTGGCACTTTGGCAGTTTGATAATTCTGACTCAGGTAAGCAGAGAGAAAAATACATCTTTAAACTGTAGTTATTTCATACCAGAAGAAGCTGATCCGTGCGTGTGTACCCGCGGTTCCGTTTCAGATTCGAGTTTCCCGAGATCTGAAGACACGGATGTCGCCGATGGGGCGTTCCTGGATTCGGCCCTGGCCAAGAGGCTGACCTGTGGCTTCTGCAGGAGGGTGTTCCAGTGTGCTGAGGAGCTGAAGGAGCACATCCACGAGCACGCCTTCTCCATGCTCCTCCCGCTCGACGTGCTCCACTGCTCCCGGCCCGGCCTCACCGACGGCGTTGCTGCCGGCCAGCTCGGCCGCTTCCAGTGCTCCAAGTGCCCCGCCAGCTTCACTCTGAAATCCAACATGGATCGGCACGAGAAGACCGTCCACTTCCACTGTAAGAAGATGCAGTGTCCTAACTGTGCCAAGCTGTTCCGTGACAAGACAGACTTAAAGCGGCACCTTCTGTCCGTGCACTCCAGCGAGCGCACCTTTGTCTGTCTCTGCTGTGGGAAGGGCTTCGGCACCCAGAAGAACCTCAGTAGCCACGTGAAAATGTGTTACCTGAGCTCTGCCCACCTGGCTGGGCTGGAGCTTTTGGACAGTGTAGGACCGAGCGAGGATCCTGAGGATGTGTAGCTGCCGTTTTTGTATATGAGACGCTTCCTTGAACTAGGAAAAGCAAATTGTGCCATGGTTCTTGTGCTGCAAATAAATGTTCCACAGGTGTTGTTTCATAGAGTAACCCCCCAAAGGTGGTCAGTTGATGCTGTGCTGGTTCCAGATGCTGTGTCACTGCAGCCTTGGGGCAATATTTGTGCAAAGATAACTTTTTTGGGTCCATAAAACAAGCACTTCGGCTGTTTTATTGGAGTGCTCATTCTGTGTTCTGACACTACCTTCAACTGCTTTATCAGTAGATCTCAAAGTGCTTTATAAAAGAAATGGTGATGTCTTCCTCCAATTCCTCAGGAAAATAACATCCCTCAGGTTGTTGAAAGTGCTAGCAATAGAATTAATAATAGAATTCAATTCTGAATTCTGCTCTAGTGTTCTGTCCATTAGACCATTTGGGCATTCCAGGGGTTTTCACTGTGAACTTAGGAGCTGTGGAAGCACTGGGTTGCTGTTTGTTAAGTGGTTTTCTATGTCTTTCGAAGGAGAAAAACATACTGCTTGTTCATATGTCCAGTAGAGTATGTTACTTGGGCTTGAAAGTTGTTGCAAGGTTTGCATCTTTTACTGATACTGTATTTCAGTACTTTCAGGGCTTTTTTTAAAAAACATCCTGGAGTATGGCTGTGGTTTTCAGGGATTTTGTACATTTTTGTGACTCATTTGGTTTATATGCTGTAATTAAGTTAGCCAGGCTCAGTGTGATGGTGTTGAAGCAGAGGAAGGAGGCTTTACATAAATTTAATTGTAACTTGAGGTGTGCATACAGAATCAGTAATGGCTGTTCCTGGTGGGTAGAAATCTGTAATTCCTGTTTCATTCTATGAAATTCACTTATTTTTTAAAAAGATTAAATATTTCTATGTCTCTTGCTATATATTTACATACAAAACCAGATTATGGTAACTGTGAAATGAAAGTAGCATAATTAAGAGCAGTGCTTCCCAGCTGCTCTGTGTGCAGCACAGCTTGTCAGCATGTGGGGTTTCTTTCCTCAGTGTGAGAGACAGCTGAGGAGAAAAAAAGCTAACTTCTACAAATGTTCTCTAGAGTTCTTCAGGGAAGTTCTTTCTCATGATACTGTTGCATCTCAGGGAGACAAAAAATGAGACATAGTTGTGCACTATGTGGACTCAGTGAGGAGCTTGTTCCCCAGCCCTTTCCTGTGGAAAGGTGAATGAGAGGGCCCATCAGGTCCTGCTGCCCTTGGGCTTGTGGAGAAGGATCAGGTGTATTCTGGTGCAGCTCTGCTCCACCTGTTCCTGCTGGGAGTCAGAGCTTCAGGGAGACGGCTCCATGCCATGCCAGGAGACCACAGTTTGCCTGCTTGCCTCTTCATTTGAGCAGGCTGCAGTAAGAATTGAGGATAAGTTCCTATGTAATCACTGCAGTACATTTTAATCATTTGGGTTTAAATGTTAGGGTTTTTGCAAAGTCAGGTTCATTTTTTTCCACTCTTGTTCCCGTTGAGATCTTGGGTAACATGGATCTCAGCTGTCTGTGAGTGTGTGTAGCTTTGAGTGTCAGCTTCCCTTGTGACAGATGTCAGAGTAATTGCCTCATTATTTATTTTACTCTTAAATAATCAGCAAGTGAGAAAAGAGAAAGCTGAGACAGAAAACAAAGTTGTAACCCAATGAATCTTATCTGGAAATTTGGGACATGCAGGGAAGGATTTGTCTGACTTGGGAAAGAAAGATGCCAGCAAAAGCAATTTCAACAAACTTTGAAAGGTTTCATTACATAATAATAGTTAATGAGGTTTCATGTTTGCGCATTTTTCTTGTATTTTAGAATTTAATTCATCATGGAATCCTTTTTCTGTAGGCAGGTAAACACTGTCTCTAATCGAGGTTTTAGTAGTACTTTCCTTGGCCTATGCATCAGAGTGCTTCCTGAATTCAGCACTGGGAATTTCCAGTGCTTCCTTTCAGGATCAGGACTAGGTTTTTTTAATTGTTAGAACTGAAAGGTATAGCAGGGCAGAGCTTTATTGGGTTTGTGTAGAACAGGTGTTGGAAGCAGGATTTTACTGTTAGGAAATGGCATGGGAAGCTGATGGGAGGTGTGAGTCTGACAGTTAAATTGCACTTTGCTATTTATAACCTTAAGTATAAAGAGGACTTAGCGGACAAGAATTCTACTGAAGTTTGTGAATTCTTTCTAGTAACCCAAAGAATGTAGTATTTCACTGATTATTAACTAGATGACAGGTTAATCCAAAGCAGCTCCATCAGGCATCACTAGTGCTTTTCCTTCACTCTCAGGGATGTAGGAGCCTGTTTCCTTTAACAACCTCATTGAAATAAGTTACTTGAGATGACAATACCAAAGATTTTTTTTTCCCAAGCATTATTGTGTTGATTTTAAAAACACACATTTCCATAAATATTTTAGTGGCATTAAGTACACAGATTTTTACTGTGTCACTGTTTCTGTTTCCTTCTCCATTTCTTGGTGCTGTGTCCAGTAGCTCTTTACCCATGGTGCTGCTGTTTATCACCTTGATGATCATATTAAAGATGATTTCTTAGGACCTTAATGCTGCTACACTTAATGCTGCTCTATAAAATATTGTCATTTAGACAAAGGATGATGCTCATATCGAAGCTGGTATTTGTGCATTAAATAGATGTACTGTGGGTGCCTATATTTTACTGGACTGTGAAAATGTTAATGCTGCAATACACTTTTTTTTCTGACCATGCTGCTGTTTTTGAGGTGTTTCCTTTTGTAGATTCCAGAACTAAATATGTGGCTATTTGGTGCAAAAATAGTTTTCAATAAAACTATAGCTGCAAACAGTGTTCTGTGAGTATTTTTAAATACAGAAGCTGAAGATAATGGTTTTGAGTGATTTAAGCTGAATGCAGGCATGAGGGATCTTGAATCAGAGTCAGGAATCAGCTGTTGGAAATCCATGGATGTGTTGGAAGCAGGTGGCTGGGGAGGAGAGTGCTGGGGATGCAGGTCATGCACAGTGTAAGAATTAAAAACCCGTAGATGGTTAAGAGTGTGATTTCACTAATTGAACAGTGAAATAGTCAATGAGATGACTTTTTTGAGACATTCTGCGATTAATCTGTGTGTTCTGCTTTCTCTCTTGCAGTCAACGAGTTCACAGTCATCAGGAAGAAGTTCAAGTGCCCGTACTGCAGCTTTTCTGCCATGCACCAGTGCATCCTGAAGAGACACATGCGGTCCCACACGGGAGAGAGGCCCTATCCCTGCGAGATCTGTGGGAAGAAGTTCACCCGCCGGGAGCACATGAAGCGCCACACCTTGGTAAGGGCAGTGCTGAGGGCTGAATCCCTTTTGTTCAGGGTAAAGAGAACAAGAGTTTCACCTCATTTAAGTCTGGATTTTGTTTGCCACCTAGGGCTCATCTGAAGGCTTCTGTATCTTTTTCCCCTGCCTCTCCAAGGCCTCGTGGCTGGCTGCCTGTTCATCCTCCTCCTGCTCTCCAAGCTCAGCTAGAGGCTTTCCAAGGCTTTGGTTGGATATTAGCAAAAAATTCTTCACTGAAAGGGTTGTTCAGCCCTGGCACAGGCTGCCCAGGACAATAGTGGAGTCACCACCCCTGAAAGGGTTTAACAAATGTGTAAATGTGGCTTTTGGGGACATGATTTAGTGGTGGACTTGGCAGTGCTGGGGGAACAATTGGACTTGATCTTAGAGACCTTTCCCAGTCTTAACAATTCTGTAAATCTATGACTTGATGCAGAAAGCTTTAAAACACATTGCTCAGCAAGAAGTTGAGGCAAAGCAACTCTGGTCTGGCCATGCTTAGTTATCAAAAATGCTTTCACACCATATTAAAGAGGCTTCTCAGCTCTGATTGTGAGGCTGGTGCTGGTGTCTGGCTCTTCACAGCTTCTGCAGAAACAAAATTTTGAGCCAAACTTTGATTATTTTTCTTTTCAGAGGAGAAATGATTTGCCATCCTAAAGAGGTCCTCCAAATTTGTTGTAGAGGTGGTATTGTGGCAGAGCAGGTAGTTTCTAGGCGATAATTCCAGCAGCAGGCCTGGCTCACCACCTGTAATACCCCAGGTCCCACACCAGGATCCTGGAGCCCTGTGTGCCCAAATTTTCCACAGTACCCAAGTCCCCATCATCTCCTTCTTTCCTTGGCTGCTCCCATGTCTGTTTGGATGAGTGCCCAGCCATCTGCTTGGGCACTGCCTGCTCCCTGAGATGTCCCTTCCTTCTTTCCTTGGGTGCTGGAGCTTGGGAGGCAGATCCCAGTATGTCCTGTCCTGCTGCAAGCACACAGGTTTTGAGACCTGTTACTGGTTCTGCAGCAGGGAGTACCTTGTCCTGCCAGCTGGTTGTCTCCAGCATTTTATTTCTGAGAACTTCCCCTTTTTAAAATTTTATTTTCATAAGTTTAGGATGTTGTCAGCGTATTTCTCCTTCTCTTCCTTGAAATATTGGCATTTAATCAGTTAGACTATCATCTTTTTAATGGCACTGTCCAGTGCTGAGGAACAAATGCTGTTTCTGTATTTAATACTAATTTGGCTGTGAAGGGAATAAGATTAATTTCTGTTCAGTTGCATCCAGGAACATGGCTCACTTGAACATGCTGACTGAAGTGTTAGCATTGGAAAAGAGGGAGAGAGGTGATCAGATTTTTAGTAGAAATGCAGCCTGCTGTAGTGGAAGGTATCCCTGCCCATGGCAGGGGGTCAGAGCTAGATCAGCTTTAAGGTCCCTTCCAACCCAAACCATTCTGTGATAATTACAAATTGGTTTAGTACCTGTTTTATAATTTCTTTTTATATGGCTTTTTTAGCCCTTATTTTCACCCCTGACCACCTTCTGTTCTCCTATTCAGCTTTTGATGCCTGAAAATCATTCTTGTACGAGTTGAAAGTGAGTGATACCTATAGATCCTGGTGGATGACTCTGAGCAGCCCTGTCCAACTGCTTTAAAAAAAAGTAATAAAATTTAATACCTTTGCTTGATGCAGTAGAAGAATGTCGTGGGGACTGGCTCAGAGCAGGGGAACCTGCAGCCAGAGAAAATCAGAGGCACTCACAGGCTTTGAACACGGCTGGGACTGGTGCAATACAGAGCCTGAGCCAGTGTCCTGCAGTAGTGAGGGCTGAGGGGCTACAGTGGGTCAATTTGTCCTCTTCCCAAGGAGCTTTAGCTCAGCTGAATGTTCCAGAGTGCAGGGTTGTGGAGAGTCAGGTGGTGAGAGCTGGTGATCCCATGCTGAGGCAGGAGCAGGGAGCAGGCATCCAGGCAGCTGCTCTAAAATAAAAGGAAGGGCTTTAATTGGCAAAAGCTTTCCCAGAGCTGCTATGAGCATGAAAAGAAGAAATGAGTTAAAAAGGATTAGGGACTGGTGATATGTACCCGAGACTCTTGTGGCTGCTGGGCTGCTCAGAACAACCCCAAACCACTGGCACTATTTGTGTGCTTCTACACCACTTCCTAAAGTGTCTCCTGAGGATCAGTGCCAGACACAGGGCATTGAGAGCCTGTGCTGTCCCCGTGTGGTGTTAATATATAAAAGAATAAAGAAAAAAAATATAAAAGAAAAATACATATTTTTAGTACATACTGGGCAGCCCTGAAGCAGTCAGACAGTTGGACTAGAAGATTGTAATGGGTCCCTTCCAAATAAACTTTTCTGTATATGTAAATAAAATCAATATGTATTTTACATGTAGATGTGTAAGTGAAAGTACCTGATGAGGCTCCTTGTGGTGGAGTTTGGGAGTTCTCACTGCTCTGGTTTCCTTTGGCAGAGGAGCAGGTGGATGGTTTGACAAACCCCTTGCCTTCCATGCAGGGCAAAAGCGGCCAGGGACAAATTTCACCTTTAATCAGGTGTTTTGTGCTTCTCCAAGTATTTAATTTTGCCCACTGAATAGTGCAGTTTGACTCTGGAAGTGAATTCTTTATCCTGCAGAGGATTTTCCTTGCTTCCTTTACTGGCCATGTATTCTGGGATAGCTTCATATGCCCAGGATTCTTGCACCATTGGTTATGGAAGAGAAACAAACCAAAGCAGTCAGAAACAAGGTGAGAAGTGCATTCAGATGCATTTTTTGGGAGATACAGGAGATATTCCAAGTGCTCCTGTTCTTTGGTTCTGGACAGCAGTGGGATCAGGAGGGAGACCACTAAATCACCATGACATTAACACTGGTTTGATCAGGGCTATTCTTCTGTGGTCTTTACAGAACTGGTGGCTGTGGATTGTTTTCTTGATTTCTTTTTAACATTTTCCTCTTGGTGGTGGGTGTGATACCACTATTGCACCCCAGAAAAACAGAAGGGAGAAGGATGAAAAGAAATTATGAGAAAAGTTTGTCTCAGACTTATGAGTGTGATGATGAACAGGCAGCCCCAAAGGATTTTCCATTGTGTGTCATCATTGCAGGGCTGAATTAATCATGGTAGGTTTGAGTTCATGGTGGAAGCCAGTTGTGATCTCAGATAGCAGTTGTGTATTTACCTTTGCAAGGACATGGGAGCAGCTTTCATTCCATCTCTGTTGGCATTCACCTCTGTGTTCTTCCCTTCTTCTCCAGGTCCACAGCAAAGATAAAAAATACGTCTGCAAGGTTTGCAACCGGGTGTTCATGTCGGCGGCCAGCGTGGGGATCAAGCACGGCTCCCGCCGCCACGGCGTCTGCGCCGACTGCTCCGGCCGCGGCATCGCCGGCCACCTGGACCACAACGGGGGAGAAGGGTCCCCAGACGAGTGTTACCCTGGGGAAGGGCAGTACATGGAAGACCCAGATGACATCAAAGTGGAAGGAGATGAAGAGATGGGAGACGACGACGACATCAAGTGGAAGGATGACGTGGGGATGTCACAGGATGATGTGATTTTAGATGATGACAAAGATGTCGACTCCCCGCAGGAGCAGGACAACTCTGGGGAGAATGACAAGGATTTTACCTGGATTTCTTAGGGATTATTTTTTGTTTGGTTTTTTTTTTTTTGTTTCACTCTGTTGTTTGTAGGGGGAGGGAGGGT